TTCATATTTTTTTAGACTAAAACACATCTTAGTTACTAAACTTGGTAAATTATAATGGAATTCTATGGTATCAATATAGTAATTTATGATTTTTTGGTTATTCAAATGTATATATATATATAAAACCTAAAAAAAATATTTCGTTTCACATCCTCCATGTGCAAAAGTTCTTAAGGCTTAGCAGGCTACAACAAGCAGCAACCAAGTACAAAGGTCATAACAAGAAGAGATAATTGTTTGCTTTTCTTCTTCATTTACTGTTATATGTTTTAGGAAAAATAGTTTAAGAACTTGTTTGTAAATAGAAATAATGTATATACATATATAATGTATAATAATTGAAATGTGGCTGTATTTTACAAAACACTAGTCCACTAAAACATAGACAAGGCAGGTCACTTTGTAAAGATTAAAGGTCACTTTTATATTATTGAATTCGATAACATGAGTGCACATGCACTGCATCAATGTAACTTCTGTATTGTTAGCCAAGCACAGCTGAAAGGTCAATATAATAAAAATAATAATAACTATAAATGTATGATGTTATGAGATTTAAGCTATTTAGACTAAGCATTTGTGTTTTCATGTTATAATTTGTAGTCATTCTGGAATGAAAAAAGCATAATTTATATTTATTTCCTAATTTATTATAGTGATTACGAGGTTGGTAAAATTGACAGACCCCATATAGTTAGGGTAAAGAAAATAACAGACAAAATTATAAAGTTTTACTGAAAACAAACATTTGAAATGTATTTAGGAGGTTTTAGAGATTACACAAATAATATTTGAGATTTTTGGGATGAAGAATAGTTTTTTAATCATGACATTAAAATCACTCCACATTCGGACTAGTAATGAAACAGACTCAATATTTTCACAAACAAATCTTTAGTAAAAATACTTCATTAAAAAAGCAATTTTTTGTGTACAAAAGACTTGGAATCATTCCTAAAAGTCTACCAAAAGATACACATACAGTATTAAAAGTTATAGTATAAATCAGTGATGCATAGGTCCCCGGCCATATATTCGGCCCCAGTCAGGTATTGGGCTGCCTGGTACGACTCTGCTCTGGCCCGAGTGTCGACATTAAGCATCTAAGCCCTAATCTTTATGGCAACTAATGCAGTACTGAAAGTTACAGTCAATAATTGGTTTACTTATAAAAAAAAAATGTGTACTGAGCAACAAAAACTGACTGCCCACTGAAAGTTGGTTAATAACAGGTATAGCTTGAGAAGTGGATTTCTGTGGAAGGTGGGTATTTTGGGAACAACAGGGGTTAGGGTTTGAGAAGTTGGAGCTAGGCATTGAAAGTTGAAAGTAAAACTTGAATGTCCTGCTGGTGATTAATTGGTTAAATGTAATAAATGTCAATTTTGTTTTTGTTTGTAATTTTTGTGCATGTTGTTTTGTTGTTTTTTTTGGGGGGAAGGGGAGAACCAGGTCCTGGTTGACACCTGGTCCAGGCCGAAGGTTAGTGACCAGGTACCTAGACTTGGTATCCAGCCAAATGTTACTACCCGTGCATCCCTAGTATAAATACTTAATATGTGTAAATGTATATAAAAAATTGTGTATTTTATACCAAGCCTGTCACGAAAGGGTTAACACCATTAGCTGAGATGCATTGGCCCACAGAAAGCTTCACTATATAATGACTGTGATACCATTCTCCTACCTGACATCAAACAAACTATTGTTGACTGTTGCAATGCAAAATGAATTATCTATAAACAACCTTTTCCCGGTTTGCTTATCCAATTTTTTGAAGTTTGATACCCATTTCAACTGATTTGGTTTCCTTAAGTACTGAATTTTGAGCAACTACATAATCCGTTGAAGCTACTTTGTGTTGATGTATATCTTACTTTTCTGGAGGTAATATTCACACTTGTACTTACAGCTACAACATTAACAAGATATCTACTGGATTGTTGTGCATCATGTAAGGAGCATACCCTAAGTTACTTAACATCACTTTTGAAGGGATTATACTTATTACCTCAGCATATGGTATTATCAACAGTACAAGCAGACCTTTACATTACCATAATTTTGACATACTTAGTAATTATAAATAAAAGAAGTCCTCATCACTAAATGGTACCTCTGATATATTGTAGGGGATTTTTTGCTAAATTTAATTTTAAGACTCAAATATGTTGGATTGTGGTGCTTTTTGTTTCCTCAAATGAAATGACAAACTATGCATGTATACATTTTGCACACTTCTTGGCTTTTGGTGTTTGCTTTTCCTTAACCACCTCACAAACCTGTCAAAGTTAACATACGTTAATAGTGCTCCAACTTTCCAAATACCCGACTAGTGTTTGCATTTTTTTAAATTCCTGCAACAAAAAACCTGCTTGTATGTTCTTTTGATACAAATGTCTTTTTCACCAACTTTTATACTATACAAATTGCCTGAATGCACTACACTTGACCAAAAAAAGTACAAACTCTCATTAATGAGTCTCAAATCTCTAAAAAATAGTAGGGAGACAAAATATTGTTCAGCAAGTTCAAAACAGGTTATAATAACCTTTCTGTGAAAGTTTTTCAACTTTTGCACATGTGCTCACCAGACAACACCTCATGGGCTAATTAAGAACAAGAATAATAATAATATTTGTAATTTGATCACTATATGGCTTACAGTCTCTCCCAAGACTTAGATACAACTATGACAACAATCCATCATAGCAATGGCAAAAAAAAAAAAAGTGTTGAGACAAGATGTATATAACATTATTTTATGTTTCTGACCATCTTGATTTTCCTACAGTTTCCATGACCAATATGGGTGGGTGCTATGTTAAATGAAAAAAATGTAATAACTTAAATACAGAAAAATGGCACCATTCCAATGAGATTACTATTAGTATTAGGCTTAACACAAGTAGTTTACTAATTTTATATAAAACGAATATTACGCAGAAGTTCTTTTCTAAATTTCAATTTCATATAGTTTCATTGTTACTGTTAGCTATTAGTATTACAATTACTATTAATATAATTAACACAAAAATAAACAGTGATACTATTACTAATATATTTTACCAATGGTATTTCCAACTTAAGTTATACAACTTATAAGTTACAATACAAGTATGATTTATGAGAGTAGCAAGATTAAGTAAACGAACGATTAGT